AGATCCATCCACATTGTTGCAAATGGCAGTATTTCATTCTTTTTTATAGCTGAGTAATATTCCATTACATATATATATACACATCTTTTTTTTGAATTTTATTTTTTTATACAGCAGGTTTTTATTAGTTATCTGTTTTATACACATGAACATATACATGTCAATCCCAACCTCCCAATTCATCACACCACCACCACCACCCACCCCCTGCCACTTTCCCTCCTTGGTGTCTGTACGTTTGTTCTCTACATCTGTGTCTCTGCAAACTGGTTCATCTGGACCATTTTTCTAGGTTCCACATATATGCGTTAATATATGGTATTTGTTTTTCTCTGACTTACTTCACTCTGTATGACAGTCTCTAGATCCATCCACGTCTCTACAAGTGACCCAATTTCATTCCTTTTATGGCCGAGTAATATTCCATTGTATATATGTACCACATCTTCTTTATCCATTTGTCTGTCGATGGGCATTTAGGTTGCTTCCATGACCTGGCTACTCTAAATAGTGCTGCAGTGAACATTGGGGTGCACGTGTCTTTTTGAGTTATGGTTTTCTCTGGGTATGTGCCCAGTAGTGGGATTGCTGGGTCATATGGTAGTTCTATTTTTAGTTTTTTAAGGAACCTCCATATGGTTCTCTATAGTGGCTGTATCAATTTACATTCCCATCAACAGTGCAAGAGGGTTCCCTTTTCTCCACACCCTCTCCAGCATTTGTTGTCTGTAGATTTTCTGATGATGGCCATTCTACCTGTTGTGAGGTACCTCATTCTACCTCATTGTAGTTTTGATTTGCATTTCTAATAATGATGTTAAGCAGCTTTTCATGTGCTTCTTGGCCATCTGTATGTCTTCTTTGGAGAAATGTCTATTTAGGTCTTCTGCCCATTTTTGGATTGTGTTGTTTGTTTTTTTAATATTGAGGTGCATGAGCTGTTTATATACTTTGGAGATTAATCCTTTGTCCGTTTGCTTCGTTTGCAAATCTTTTCTCCCATTCTGAGGATTGTCTTTCCATCTTGTTGATGGTTTCCTTTGCTTTGCCAAAGCTTTTAAGTTTCATTAGGTCCCATTTGTTATTTTTGTTTTTATTTCCATTACTCTAGGAGGTGGGTCAAAAAGGATCTTGCTGTGATTTATGTCAAAGAGTGTTCTTCCTAAGAGTTTTACAGTGTCTGGTCTTACATATAGGTCTCTAATCCATTTTGAGTTTATTTTTGTGTATGGTGTTAGGGAGTGTTCTAGTTTCATTCTTTTACATGTGGCTGTCCAGTTTTCCTAGCACCACTTATTGAAGAGACTGTCTTTTCTCCATTGTATATCCTTGCCTCCTTTGTCATAAATTAGTTGACCATAGGAGCGTGGGTTTATTTCTGGGCTTTCTATCCTGTTCCATTGATCTGTATTTCTGTTTTTGTGCCAGTACCATATTGTCTTGATTACTGTAGCTCTGTAGTATAGTCTGAAGTCAGGGAGTCTGATTCCTCCAGCTCCGTTTTTTTTCCTCAAGACTGCTTTGGCTATTCGGGGTCTTTTGTGTCTCCATACAAATTTTAAGATTTTTTGTTCTAGTTCTGTAAAAAATGCCACTGGTAATTTGATAGGGATTGCATTGAATCTGTAGATTGCTTTGGGTAGTATAGTCGTTTTCACAATATTGATTCTTCCAATCCAAGAACATAGTATATCTCTCCATCTGTACACCACATCTTCTTAATGCAGTCATCTCTTGATGGGGACTCAGGTTGCTTCCATGTCTTTGCTATTGTAAGTAATGATGCTGTGAACATTGGGGTGCATGTATCTTTTCAAATTAATGGTTTCATTTTTTCCAGATAGTGGGATTGCTGGATCACGTTAGTTCTATTTTTAGTTTTTGAGGAACCGCCATACCATTTTCTGTAGTGGCTGCACTGATTTACATTCCCACCAGCAGTATACAAAGGTTCCCTTTTCTCCACATCCTCTCCAGCATTTGTTATTGTAGGCTTTTTGATAATAGCCATTCTGACCAGTTTGACGTGATACTTCATTGTGGGTTTGATTTGCATTTTTCTAATAATTAGCAGTGTTGAGCATCTTTTCATGTGCCTGTTGGCCATCCCTATATCTTCTTTGGGAAAATATCTATTCAAGTCTTATGTCCATTTTTTGATTGGTTTTTTTCTATGATTGAGTTGTATGAGCTGTTTGTATATTTTGGATATTAACCCCTTGTCGGCAGCCTCATTTGCAAATATTTTCTCCCATTCCATAGGCTGCCTTTTTGTTTTGTTGATGGTTTTCATTTGCTGTGCAAAAGCTTTTAAGTTTAACTCAGTCCCATTTGCTTATGTTTGCTTTTATTTCTTTAGCCTTGGGGGACTGATCCAAGAAAATATTGTTATGCTTTATGTCAAAGAGTTTTTCACCTATATTCCAAAAAAAATAGGTTTTAAGTAAAGTCATCCCTTGGTTATGCATGGTTGGGCATCTGTGGATTGTATAGTACTGTAGTGTTTATTGAAAAAAATCCCCATATAAGTGGACCTGTGCAGTTCAAATTCATGTTTGTTCAAGGGTCCAACTGTGTGTGGTTCATTCTTCCATCTTATACTACCTGTTAGTTTTCTATCACTGCAGTAACAAATTACCACAAACTCAGCAGCTTAAAATACAAACTTATCATCTCAGTTCTGTAGGTCTGAAGTCCAACACAAGTTTCACCAGGCTAAAGTGAAGTTGTCTCCCAGGCCCTGCCCTGGCTCTTACCTGCAGGTCTGGAGGAGAATCTGCGTCCAGGCTCTTGCATGTTGTTGGTGGACTCCAGTTCCATGCAGTTGTAGAACCGAAGTCCCCTTCCTTGCTGGCTGTCTGACCGACTGCTCTCTTGTCCTTGAACTGGCCCCCTCTGTCTTGAGAGCCAGTGACAGCACTGAATTCTTCTCATGCCTCATCTTTCCTGCATTTTCTTTGGCCAAATCCCTCTCTCACTGACCCTTCTGCCTTCTTTCTTTTAAGGCTCCACCCAGATAATCCAGAATAATCTGTCCATCTCAAGGTCCACAACCTAAAAACACCTGTAAAGTCTCCGTTTGCCAGGTTCTAGGGATTTATTAGGTCATGAACACATTTTAGGGGCCATTATCAGGCCAAACCACACCAGCTAATCATGTCAGCATTTCTTCCTATATCCATTTATGAAACAAAAGTGGTTGTGGAAACGAGTTAAGGTGGTTGTTCTCTTCTAGGAAGTACTACTGTATTTACTGTTTTCTAGGTGTTCTGGGGTACTAGAACTTGTTTCCAAATCTAATTATTAAAAGAAGTATGGTTCTGGATCTCAAGCAGTAAATAAACATACATTTAAAATTAATATTTAACGATGAGGAAACTAGTTAGTTAGAAGAACCTTTTGGAGGCCCAGTCTCACCCTCACTGGAGTCCAGCACTACTTACTACCTCACCCACCAGATCCCAATGGGGGTCTGCTGTAGCAGCATAAGGCTGTATCTTTTTCTTTTTTTTTCAACATCTTTATTGGAGTATAATTGCTTTACAATGTTGAGTTAGTTTCTGCTTTATAACAAAGTGAACCAGCTATATGTATACATTATCCCTTCCCTCTTGCGTCTCCCTCCTACCCTCCCTATCCCACCCCTCTAGGTGGACACAAAGCACCGAGCTGATCTCCCTGTGCAATGCGGCTGCTTCTGGCTATATCTTTCTCAATAGCTAATGTCTAAAACACAGTCCAGCAAGATAACTGGCCAGTCTTAGATTGCCTTAGTTGCTTGCTGTTTGATATAACCCAAACTTCCAGCACTTGCTTAGATGATGGCATCTTTTCTTTCTGTCTTAAAGCCTATCTTTAGTTTTTGATGTTTTGGGTTTTTTGTTATTTTTAAGACGTACAAAATTGTAACAGGAACAGGAATAGAAGGGTGAACCACTCCCCCCAGTGCCTCTTGCGCCCCAACCTCTAAATCCTTTCCTGTTTCTTGTGAACTCTTAAATGAGGGTTCCCATGCATTATGATACATGTATATCTGTTTTTCACACAAGTAGATTCATATCACACATTCTGTCTGCAGTACGTTCTTTATACTTATTTCAGAAAACCAGACAAGAGGCATGTATAGTACCACCATCTTAACACAACTATCTTGACTTTTGAATGTTCTTTCCAATTTGTGAATAAGGTGCTTATTTTCTAAGTATTTGCATAATTTTGTCTTTTAATAGAGGTCATGAAAGGGTTATTTTCATTTCTTCCTTATTATTAACATTCATTAAAATCTCAAGTGCAGAAAGGGAATAAGTAAGTGATGCTGAGGTGAAAAACAGGTACTGAGTAACACAATGTTTCTCTCTAACAACTGCTTGCCCTCCTGCTCCTAAAGTAAGAAATTCTAGCAGTAGGTCTCAGCAGCTTCTTGCTAAGGGAAAGCAGAAGTGGCTTCAGAGCCCCAGTGGCATCAGGAGCACTCAAGAGACAGTCCAGGCTATTAATAGGAGAAGGATATGAAAGCAGAATGAAGAAGAGAAATATATACAATTCAAAGTTTTGATACAAAATGTAGTATTTTACAAATTCAACATCCAGAATGCATGGGAAATCCACACATTGCTCTAGACATAGGACTGGTACATTCATCAAAGCACAGCAAAGTCAAAATGGCTAGAGCTTGACCCTAAGGAACAGTGTCCTGCTGTTAGAGTCTTCTGCTAAACAATAACCTCTGTACTCTAGTGGCATTTACAGTTCGTTTTTCAATTAATCACTGCATAGCATACAGCACATTCAAAATGGAGCCTTCTATGAAGAGAAATTCCTCCCCACAGCATTCACACATTTTTGGATCAAAGCATCAGCCTCATCTGTTTTTAACAGGAAGTGGGAACTAGATGGACCCATTTTTCTGCAGAGAAAAGATCTGAATGTACTCTGGCTTACAATTCTCAACCCTCCACCAGCTCTTCATGTGCTGGGGTCTAACTCGGACACTGGGTTACCAGCACAAGAGGATCTCCTATGAAAAAGACACTGTACACAGAGTACCTGGTGGCTAAATTTGAGGCGATTCATATGCAAAAAGTCACCACTTATTAAACTGTTCCGTAAGTTCATCTCCTAGATCAACCTTTTAGATCAACCTTTAACGTGGTGATCTAAGCCCCAAAGGCAGTATCTTAATGACGCTGAGAAATACCCAGGCTTGGCTGATTAACACGTAGAGGCAGACCTCAGAGATACTGGGGACTTGGTTGCAGACCACTGCAGTAAAGCGAGTCACACAAATTTGTTGGTTTTCCAGTGCATATAAAACTTATGTTCATACTATCTTATATGTCTATTATGTGTACAATAGCATTATGCCTAAACAATGTATATACCTTAATTTTAAAAATGCTAACCATCATCTGAGCCGAGTTGTAATCTTTTTGCAGTAGTATCATCAAAGATCACCATGACAAATATAATAATAATGAAAAAGTCTGAAATACTGGGAGAATTACCAAAATGTGACAACAGTGAGCTGTTGGAAAAATGGCACCGCTAGACTTGCTCGACTCAGGGTTGTCACAGACCTTCAATTTGTAAAAAAAAAAAAAAAAAAAGTGCATTATCTGCAAAGTGCAATAAAATAAGGTGTACCTGTAATCCACATATGACACTGTTACTGTGCTCTGCCCAAAGCACAGAGTCCATTCAGGCTTATATAAAGAATCAGTGGGAAAACGTTAGGGTCCTTCCGGGTGGCAACTTTCACAGAAGGTTGCAGTCTCTCCAGGTTAATGTCAGCTGAGGCAAACAGACGCTGCACGATCCCAAACCTTTCTGTATCTTTCAGTGGAGCCAAGACTGGGTCTTCAAGATCAGACACACCATCATCAGACAGAGCATGGAGCTGAAATGACACATGTAAACAAATCCACCAAAAAAGGTTATAGAAAATACACACCATTGGATAATAATGTTAGCACTTCTAACTAATTATGGGGGGAAAATTAAGTTGTTTACATTCCCCAAATAGAGCAGGGAAAACCCTTAGGCTGTAACAGGATATATTTGGCCCAGGCCAGGACCTCCACTTCGCCTGGAGTCCTCTGACCCAATCCCTACTCTCTGAACTCTAGAAAGGTCAGCATATAACTTTCTTATGCACACAGTATGTAAGGTTTGTTTTTTTTTAAATTTTAATTCACCTATTAGAATGTCTTACATGTTTGCATGAACTCCTCAAAGGTAGGTACCATGGTTTATTTAGTGATGCTTCTTGCCTTAAGCTCTTCCTTCCACCTGCGACATCCTTCCTCCAGAGTTCCCCACAGAACTTTCCTTCTCATCTCTGAGCTGTCGGTTGAAATGCCACATCAGAAGGGCCTTTCCTAATCCTCTCTCCATCGAGCCACTTGCTACCCCCATATCCCAGCCACGATTACATTATTTTATTGTCTTCATATGCTTGCTGTATCTGAAATTATCTTCCTGACATTCCCTGTTTACTCTGTTTATTAAAACCTAAGCTGCCCAGGAGAGCAGGGACCTGGTCCGTTGTGCTTACCTTATACCCTGCCTAAAACATCGACCCTCAGTTGAACGTTGGTTCTTCAGAGAGGCCACATCAAACACTGCTCTAATTGCAACTGCTCAGAACCTGTGAAACTTTGCTTTTAGGGTCTTGAGCACTGCCTCTGACACAGTTGTTTTTAATCTTTAGTAATTACAAATTTGCCAGTAGATTTGAATTTTAAACAGGCACTCAGAACCAGATCAGATTAATAATGTAGAAAGTAAAATTTAAAATAAAAAATGAAGCCTTATAAGGTATACATGAATTTTAACTGAATCTGAAGGGAATCCAAAAGAATTCCAGACATGCTCTGAGCACTGATAATCTTTCTTACTAAAAGTAATAAGCAACTTGCCCCAGGGGCTGAAGGGCAGCACTCATTTGCATATAAAGGAACTTGTGTGTCTGTTATCAAAATCAGCCTTACAAATCTACACCTTGTAGATTCACCCAATGCAACTCACACAGTGTAACCAGAGGTTTCCCCTTACCACGTGGCCTAGACTGTAAATTGTAGATGATGCTTTAGGGAGTGGATCTGGCCTGCTTCTTTAAGCATGAGCACCACATCTGGTGATTTAAGAATAAGCTCCACTGATGCAGCACAGTGGGCTGTGTCCTGGGTCTGGTGGAGAAGCACCCAGCAACATCCTGCCTTCTTCTCTGAACATCTGCCAACCCCCCAGAGGCACTTCTCAGTATAAGAGAGATTACAGTCACCCAAAGGGGGGGGGGAAATGTGTGAAATTAACATTCCCTCCAGATGATTCTCACTTTCTTACCAGCTCTTTCACCAGTTCGCAAATGTGTTAGTGTAGCTGACGCTGTTCTTTCAAAAGCCCTTCAGCAAGCCTCTCAAAGTGACTCTGGCCACCAGACAAGACAAGACAGGCATGCAAGGAGATTTCTGTACCCTGCTCTAAGTAAATACCTATAGGAAACATAAGATACCCAGATTCCTTCAGGAGGCAGAAGCCTTGCGGTCCTAACAAACGTTGTTATGAGCTCTAGGGGAGATTAAAGACCTTCCTGAGTGTCTTCACATAAAGAAAAATTACTTCTTTATGTTGAGCAGCCCACAAAGGCAAACAGATGACTCTGTGGGTGGGTAGTTTTGCACCAAGGTAGAATACCAGCTGTGCTGGGACTCCAAGTGCGTCCTAATGGCTACTCCCAGAACACCAACAGAGCAGAACTTGGAAGCAACCCAAAGATCAAATCCTAGAGCAGACCTACAGGGAAGATGACAACTAACTGTGAGCTGGTTGGGAGAGGGAGGGAGTTAGCTAATGCAGTCTCGGCAGTATTTTCTTTTTTATATACTTCCTGAATGCAGTTAATGACTTTGTAAATACATGGTGAGGGCTGACTTGGGATATGCTAAATACTTAGTTGCTGCAAAAGGGAGCTAAGCTAGAAAGCAGAGTTACTGTCATTGCAGACAATTAGATAATGATAGATATTGTTTCCATAACCAAACTGCGCCATCAGCCTTTACCCTCAGCTGGCCGCACCACAGTGGCATGCTGGCTCATTTTCAAGTAGTTCAGTTTTTGTGGTCAAAGTACAAGAACACAGCATTCCTCTGCACAGGTACAATCTGCTCTCGGTTGTGAATGACATCTAAACTGATCCTTGGAATGAAGCCTTGCTGCAGTCTCTGGATGTCTTTGCTATGCCAAGAAGTACCAGAGGCACTAACCACAGTGCTCAAAGTTCCCAGAGTAGATGCATAACGAACTGCAGGGTCCTATCTAGGCAGTCTACCCCAATACCTGCTTCCCAGATCTGGGAGCAGAGCTCTGAGCTTTGGTCCTTCGGGTCTACATAGCATGCTGGCCTCAGCCCTTAGTAACCAGGCCTCAAAATAACATAGCCGGGTATCCTCTGCTTCTCTGCCCTAGGCTGAGCAACACCTGCAGAAGCTACAACAGAGGAGCCGCCCCAGCCTACTGATGGTCCCTTCTATTGATGACCCAGTTTGTAATTTAAAAAGGAAAAGCTTAACCTTGACTTTCAGGGCTAAGCTCATCATTACCTAGCTCTTGCTCTTGCCATGGCATTTCCTGAGGGCATGAAGCTAATGATATTCCGAGGAGAAAATGAAATGTCTCCCTGAGACAAAGCAGTCCTCTTGAATACTTCCCCTGTTAAATTTGATGCCGAGCTGAATCAAACTGGTCCAGCCACAGAACTGCCATTGCAAATAGTGTGGTGTCAGGCCCCTTCCCTGCAACACTGCACCAAGCCTTGGCCAAAATTCTCTCCAAAAAATGCAAAAATCATGAGATTTGGAGTATAAATATAAGGTTTGAGTCCTAGCCCTGCTAGCAAGTTCTTCAAATAACTCCTTTCCCTCTGAGCCTTAGCCTTCCTATGGGGTGTGTGACGTGGGCAGGGTGTAAAAAAGAGAGAGATTAATAATACCTGTTTTAACCTATTCTGAAGGGCTGTTGTGGATGAGAAAGCCTAGCGAGTTTTATCAGCTGTTAGGTGTCCATCTCCTCATCACTTCCCTGTTCCTGCCCATCCCCAGGTCCTCTCTGGGAGGTTCTTACCAGATGGCACAGTGTAGGAATAATCTGGAGCTTACAACAAGTGCCCAGCAGACCTGCTGCGTTATCTGGCATTTCTGCAGGAGAAAAAAAAAAAATCAGTCACCATCAAAAAGCACCCATGGAAACAGAGCCAGCCCCCGAGCTGTACCTAATTTATATATCCTCTGTCAGTCAGGCAGAGGATATGCTCAGTAACTGTAGAATAAATGAATGAATGGGGCTACACCGGCAGCAAAGGCCTTTCAGAAAATAGATGTAGGGACCAGGTAACCAGCTCTGTGTGTTCACCAGAGGATATTTCTTACATGCAATTTGCCAATCAGAAAGAACGGTACAGACTCAGGGAAAAGTGAATCAGCATAGAAAAGTAGAAAGAACCTGGGGTTTGGTGACAGAAGAGCAGTGTTTGAGCGCCACTAAATATTTGGGAGCGACCTTGGGTATACCTCTCTCAGCAAGGTTCCTCATTTGCATACTATAGATTTTTTTTCTCTGCCTATGTCAGAGAACTATGTAAACTATAAAGGGTTATACCTAGGTCACTAATCATTTGGGGGAGAAAGATATAATGTGGTCTAGTCAAGGGGTGGCACAGCAGACCTCTTGAGCCCAGGACTCTGCAGGGCCCCCTGGCCCACAGCTAGCTCAACACAAGAGTACCAGTGGCAGAGAGCATTGGCACAGAGCTGTATAAGGCTGGGGGCTGCCCCCAGAAGGGTCCTGCCAAGCCCCAGGAAAAGGAAATCCAGATCAGTGTTAGTCAAAACCAGTTTTAAATACCTCCCAAGGTAGAACAGATGCAGTTGCTAAAAGGACCCAATCCCTTGGGATACAATCTTTGCACTGAAAAGGCAAAAGAGAAAAGAATCGTCTGCTCCATCATCTGGCGCAGGGAACGCTCATGAACTCCCCCATCTCCTGCATTAATTAGAAGCCTTATTTATATAAAGGGCAGTGTGTCGCTGAGGCTGTGGCCCAACAGAGCACAACGAAACACGGCCTTCTCCCAAGAGCAGAAGGCTGCTAGGGGGATGGGGCAGCCCCGAGGTCTGAGCCTAAATGGCATTTAAATGTTCTTTTGTCTCCAGAGAGTCCCCACCGTTTTCAACAGATCCTCAAGGAGGCCCGGCTCCCAAATCAGGAAGATGAAGATGGTAACGGTATGGGGCCTTGTGGAAAGATCCACAGGGCTGTGAAGGGCCAGGACAAAGTCCCCTGGGACATGATGTCCTGGCTGAGCTACCATCACAAGTCATCTCACCCGTTCATGTGTCCATTCCTCACTTCTCAGGTGACTCCCAAGTCCCATGTAATCGTCATCATCCCTTATTCTTGGAAATACTTTACTTCCATGTTACTCAGTGGTCATTCACTACCTTGAGCATGGTGCTAGGGACACAGCTCTACTTTGCAGCGCTTACCACCTAATTTCACTGCTTGACTGTAGTTCCCTTGAGGGTGGGGATGATGATTTTCTCCTACCTCAGCATCTAGCAGTGCCTAAAACACAGCAGAGGCTTCTTCAGCGTTTCTAGAATTGAAATGATTTCTTTTGATCTTTCATATTCTAACTATTTTACAAATGAAACCTGGGAAGTTCATGCTTAAGGTCACAAAATAGGGGAAGTGTTCCAGGAGATGGGCTAGATGCTGAGACCGAAGTGCTTTAAACAAACAGGAGGAGGGCGGTTCAAGATGGCACCGTAAGATCCGGAACTCACCTCCTTCCACAGACAAACTGAATCTACAGCGACATATGGGACAGTTTCCTCTGAAGAAACCCAAAACTACCTGAGCAACTCCCATACATCAGGTGAACAAGGAAAAAAAACCCATATGCCTATAGTGAACTGAGAAATCATTCTTAAAGGGCTTGCACGGGACTTACCCACCCCTAGGACCCAGCACAGAAGCAGCTGTTTGAAAAACCCCCATACTCTCTATGAAAGAGGCTCGTTATCATAAAGCATCGGCCTGGGGGTAGGCATGTAATTTAACACGCACCTAGGGACCTGCTGGTGTACCCTCTGGGGACAGAGGCCATCAGACACCATCTTTGCACCCTTCCTCTGCCACACTTCAAAGCACCAATATTTCCCAGAGAAGGGCTAGGACACATCTCTGGTGCCCTTGTTTTTGTGGCTGCCACCCAGGAAACACCCCTTGATCGTCTGGCTCTCATGGCCAGCAGGGCTTGCATTCCTGGGTCCCTCGGGACTGTAACAATCAGACTGTTCTTGGCCAGCTACCACCCCCAAGGCACTGTCAGACAGCAAACTGAAACACACCCCTCGTCTTCTGTGAAAGAGGCCCAGTCGCTCGGCCTGAGGGGCAAGCTTCTGGTTTGACATACGTCTAGGGGTCTGCTCTCAGAACAGAGGCCAATGGATGCTACCTTTGTGCTCTCCATCTGCCTCATTCCAGGTTGCTGGTATCTCCTGGAAAGGAGCTTATACAATCGTCTAGCTTGTGATTTCTGTGACTGCCACCCAGTGACACTTTTAGGTCACCTGGCTCTACTGGCTAGCAGGATTTACACTGTGGTCTGTATATACTTGTATACTTTAAAAGCTGCTGCATGAAGCTCTGGCTTCTAATCAGCCTAAATCTAGGTGCTGACTGAGATCCTCTTTGGGGCACTGACAGGTGTTGACAAACCCTCAACCATTGGGAGCCACTAAAAATAGGCTGCTTGGACAATCACAAAGGTTTGAGAGACAACAAAGAGCTAGGGTGAGGTTGAATAAGGTCCTCCTCTCTTACATGAGACCACTCCCTCACGTGAGAGGAGACTTCTTTACCTTCTGCATGGAAACAAACACAGAGTGTCAAGGAAAATGAAGAAACAGAGAAATATGTTCCAAACAGAGGAACAAGATAAAAGCTCAGAAAAGGTCCTGAATGAAAAGCATATAAATGATTTATTTGCCTGCTAAAGAGTTCAAAATATCATAAAAATGCTTAATAAGCTTGGGGAAGAATGGATGAACACAGTGAGAGCTTCAACAAAGAACGAGAAAATATAGGAAAGGACCAAAATAAAGTCACAGAGATGAAGAATACAATAAATGAACCAAAACACACACTAGAGGGTTCGACCACAGACTAGACGAAGCAGATGATCACTGAATTCAAAGACAAGGCAATGAGACGCACCCAATCAGAGCAGCAAAAAGAAAAAGGTGAAAAAAAAGTAAACACAGCTTAAGAAACTATGCTACTGCATCAAGCAGACCAACATTGGCACTATACGGATCCCAGAAGAAGAGAGAAAGGGGCTGAAAACTTCCCTAACCTGGGGAAGGAAACAGACACTCGGACCCAAGAAACCCAGACTGGAGGTTCCAAATAAGAGGAACCCAAAGAGACCCACACCACACCACATTAAAATGTCAAAAGTTAAAGACAAGGAGAGAATCTTAAAAGCAGCAAGAGAAAAACAACTTGTTACACACAAGGGAACCCCACCTACATGGCTATCAGCAGATCAGATTTTTCAGCAGAAACTTTGCAGCCGAGAAGGGAGTGGTATGATATAGTGAAAGTACCAAACGAAAAAAACTTGCAACCAAGACTACCTGACAAAGTTGTCATTCAGAATTGTAGGGGAGAGAATTTTCCAGACAAGCAAAAGCTGAAGGAATTCATCACCACTAGATGAGCCTTACAAGAAATGTAAAAGGAACTTGTTTAACCTGAAATGAAGGAGTAGTAATAGGAAAACACATGAAAATATAAATCTCACTGGTAAAGGTAAATATATAGTAAAATTCAGAATAATGTTGTAAGGGCAGATTAATCACAAAACTAGTATGAGATTAAAAGACAAAATTAGTAAAAAAATAACTATAACTACAATAATTTGTTAAGGGATATGCAAGATAAAAAGATATAATTTGTGACATCAAAACCATAAAATGGCAGGAGGGGGAGAGTAAAAAAGTAGAGCCTTAGAATGCATTCAAACTTAAGTTGTTACCAACAGGTATTTATAACCGTCTATTTTAAGTTGGTATGTAATCCTCATGGTAACCACAAATTAAAAACCTATAGCAGATACACAAAAGAGTAAAGAGAAAGCAATCTAAGCATACCACTAGAGAAAATCATCAAATCACAAAGGAGGAGAGCAAGAGAAGAAAGGAACAAAGAACTACCAAAGAGCCACAGAGTAATTAATAAAATGGCAGTAAGTACATATCTATCACTAATAACTTTAAATGTAATTGGACTAAGTTCTCCAGTCAAAAGATGGAGTAGCTGAATGGATAATTTTTTTTTTTTTTTAAAAAGACCATTATGTTGCCTACAGGAGACTCATTTCAGATGCAAGGACATACACAGACTGAAAATGAAGGGATGGAAACATATTCCATGCAAATAGAAACCAAAAGAAAGCTGGGGTTATATAGGCTTTCTTTATATCTGCAGTAAATAGACTTAAAATTAAGACTGTAATAAGAGACAAAGAAGGGCATTACATAATGATAAAGGGGTCAATCCAACAAGAGGATATAACACTTTTAAATATTTATGCACCCAACATAGGAGCACCTAAATATATAAAGAAAATAGACCTAAAAAGAGAAATAGCAATACAATAAGAGTAGGGGACTTTTAATACTCCACTTTGATCAATGGATAGATCATCCAGAGAGAAAACCAATAAGAAATAGTGGCCTTAAATGACACATTAGATCAGATGGATTTAACAGATACATGGAGCACATTCCATACAAAAGGAAAAGAGCATACATTCTTCTCAGGCACACATGGAACATTCTCCAGGATAGGTCATATTTTATAGGCCACAAAACAAGTCTTAATAAATTTAAGAAGACTGAAATCATATCAAGCATTTTTCCCAACCACAATGGTATAAAAGTAGAAATCAATTACAAGAAAACTGGAAAAGTCAAAATATGTGGAGATTAAACAATGTGCTACTGAACAATATGTCAAAGAAGAAATCAATAGAAAAATCAAAAATACCTTTAGACAAATGGAAATACAACATATCAAAATGTATGGGATGTAGCAAAGCCAGTTCTAAGAGGAAAGCTCACAGCAATAA